GAGGAAGTGGAAACTGTTGGGTTCTGTCTGAGAAACTCTGAGGCTCTTAGGTCGCTTGATGACCAACTTGGGCATCTACCTGCAGAGTGTCAGAGTCAGATGACAGCTCTGTTGGCTGAGTTCTCCCCCCTGTTCCAGGATGTCCCAGGATGCACGTCTCTAGCGGTGCACGATGTGGATATGGGCAGTGCGGCTCCAATCAAACAACATCCGTACAGGTTAGCACCATCTAAATTGGAGTGTTTGAGGGAAGAGTTGTCTTATATGTTGAGCATTGGGGTGAGCATGGGCAGAGTGAGTGGAGTTCTCCAGTGGTATCCAAAATCTGATAATACATCAAGACCTTGTATTGACTATAGGAAAGTGAACCAGCAGACTAAGGCTGATGCCTTCCCAATTCCCAGACTTGAAGACTGCATAGACAGGATCGGAGGAGCAGAGGTTGTTTCTAAGTTAGACCTACTGAAAGACTATTGGCAGGTGCCTCTGACTCCACGGGCTAGGGAGATTTCAGCCATTGTGACACCGGATAGTCTGTATATTTGCAATGTTCTTCCGTTTGGCATGAAAAATGCTCCCGCTACTTTTCAGCAGTTGATGAATAAACAGGGGGTGGAAGGAGAGGGGTCAGCAATGGTGAGGGTGAGGGGGATCACATGATGGTGGAGGAAGGGAGGGTGCCATGGTGTTGGTGCATTGAGTGGGGGGAGGGGGCAGGTCAAACCTGTTGAAAAAGGTGTTAAGCTGGTTTGCCTTCTCCACTGCCCCCCCCCCTCTGTGATGTTCCTAGCTTTGTGGCCTGTGATGGTTTTAACACCATCCCAGACCTCCCTCATGTTGTTCTTTTCCAGTTTGTGCTCCACCTTCCTCCTGTAGCTCTCCTTTGCCTCCCTCAAGCACAGTTTCAGCTCACGCTGTGCTGTCTTAATTGCCTCCTTGTCTCTGCTCCTTCACGTGTCACCCATGGCTTGTTGTTGGGATAGTGGCATACAGTCCTAGTAGGGGCGACTACATCTGTGCAGAAGTTGAGATAGTCTGTCAGGCAGTGTCAGCCCATCTATGTCCTCACCCTGTTGGCTCTGTAGTACACTCCAGTCAGTGGTTTCGAAGCAGTTTCTGAGGGCATCCTCCGCTTCAGGAGTCCATTTCCTGAAGGAGCGTGTTGTGACACACTGCCTCTGCACCAGGGGGTGTACTGTGGCTGCAGGTAAACCAGGTTGTGGTCCGACTTCCCAAGTGGGAGAGGGGGGTGACCCTGTATGCATCCCTTACATTAGCATACAGGAGGTCAATTGTCCTGTTGTTTCTTGTGGGACAGTTCACAAACCGGTAAAAAGCAGCCAGAGTAGAGTCCAGGGTGGCATGGTTAAAATCAAACTGAAATGATGAAGAAAGCCTCAGGGTGTTGTGTCTGCAGCCTTGCTGTGTCTGTGTGGATCTGTGTTTGAATTTCCCTCGGGATCAATAAAGTATCTATCTATCTATCTTCTCACAGGCAGTGGCTGCATCGGCTCTCGGGGGAACGTAAACACACACAGCGATCACGTGACCGAACTCCCTCTGTAAATAGTATGGCCGGAGGCTAACGGCTAGCAGCTCTAGGTCCTGGCAACATAAAATCACCTTCACAGAGACATGTCCTGGGTTACACCATTGGTTGTTGACATATATGATGAGTCCCCCACCTTTGCTTTCCCCACAGGCTTTTGTGTCTCTATCGGCTCTCACTGCGATGAAACCCAGCAGGTCACCGTTAGCGTCTGGGATGCGGGGGGTTAGCCACGTCTCTGTGAATATTAGCAGGCTGCTCTCCCGGTAGAGTCGCTGGTTGTTTAGTGCTGATAGCTTAGTGCCGTCACTCACAGCACTCACTCACTACTACAGTAATGTGGACTATTTTGGACTTACTGACCCATTGAGACCCTGAGAAACCGTTTGTATTGTTGTAAGTTTGTGTGTGCGTGCGCATATGTGTGTTTGTTTGTGTGTGTTGATCGGTCAGTATTACCCCATGGTGTAAAGTTCAGACATGCTTTCTCTCAGCAAACATAAGTACACAGAGAACTTGTAATAGACTAGAACTGAAGATCTTTACACTGACCTTCATTTTTCTTTAAATAATGATTGCGTACTTGTGTCTGTCTGTTTATTTTCGTCTGATTATGTTGCTGTGTTTAGAGATGTCAGTGAAAACGTACATGGAGAGGGTGGATAATTTCAGCTCAGTATAGAACCAAAAAACATGATAATAACACACTAACACAGAGTAACACTGAAAAGAACACCAAAAGAATTCTCATGAGGGTCAACAAATGAGGGGCTGATCACTTTATCTCACACTGACACAGAAAGGTCCTGTATGTGATGGAGAGTGACGGACCTGCTGGTTGTTATAAAACTAGGACAGCAGCAGTCTTTCTCTGAACTAAGGGAACATTTCACTCCCACAATGTGACATGAACTCTGACATAACAACCAATCAACAACCAGCTTGATGACCCTGATGAAGGCCACGAGCCAAAACGCGTCGGTCTAAATTGTTAATAAAGTTGATCTTACTGCAAGTGTTGCTGGAGCATTTTGACCTCTTCTAAACCAATCAACAACTGCCAGGGCTGACAGGTGAAGCTAAAACTTAAGTACCAAAAAGTAAATCCCCATAGAGCCCAATATTTAAATATCCAACTTAACAGCAGAAATACACGTTTACAGCCTAGTACAAAAACAGTAACTACTTGGCCACTGGAGCCACTGGATTTTAATTCAACTCACCTGTTTACATAAAGTAAGGCTTAAAGGGATGTAGAATAAGGGGCGTGGCCTCTTCGATTGACAGGTGGGAGCTTTTAGGTGTCACCTCAGCTGATCCAGTCACTGAATTTAACCTGCAGTGATCATAAAACAATGATCTGTTTGCAAACGGTCACTTTGACATCTTTATCAGGTGATGATAAGTGAAGTGTGCCCATGGCTTATTCTGGTGCCCTCTAGTGGAAAAAGAAGCAGTTAATGATGCGTCAAACTTTGAATCAGCCAATTTCAATCTCAGCGTTTCTATTTTGCATTCAAGGGTTTCTGTTAAGTATTTGATTTTTATTTACTGTTCTCTTGTTTTAAGTCTTTATGTCTTTAGTTTGGATATAGTGTTAAATTGTCGTTTTTATTCACTAACTGTTCGTATCCCTCCCTCCGTTTAGCTGCTCTTCAGGAATTCATCCAATTTTTTGAAATTACAAGATCAAATGGAAGTTCAATTTCTATAAGACGACTGCAAAAAACGCTGTTGGCATGTTTAGCACCGATGTTCTGTTTGAGGTTTTTTTTTCAGTTGTTGTGGAAAGATGCTTATTGGCTTAAAACACTGCGTTGTAGTTATTGTCCCTCTTAGTTTGGGGCTCTATGTTTAAAGGGGTAGAGGGCCTCTACAGACTGTTTCCAGGGGCTAGTGGTATAATTTTCTGTCCATGCATTACACAAAAAATATCAAGTACATCACTTACTTTTTTTAATGAAAACTTCAAACAGTGAGCAAAAGAAGACTCATGTAAGCTATCAGAGAAGCAGTGATGCGCTTTATAAAGTAAATCCAAAGAAAACAGAGTAACGTGGAAAAAAAGCAGTCATCATATAAAACATTTAAAGAAAAGATTCAAAGAAATGAGGAGCAAAAAATCTCTCCATTATTACAGTATGAACAAATCCACACCTGAACAGTTAAATTTCAGTGACGGCTTGGTCGTTGTTATCCTGTATGCATCATCAGAAGGTGTACGTGTTGGTTTACTGTCTACTGTAGTGTGAATTTGTCTGTCTCTGTCTTGCAGTGTCTAGTGTTTCATTGTTCTGTCTTTCTGTATGCGTCTTTGTCACTTATGGCTGTGCCATGTATATTGCCAGATGAAGTAGTCGAAGAATGAGTTGTGTTTCTAAATCTGGGGTGTGACTGTAACTTTGCATGTCTGTGTCACATTATATCTTCATATCTCTGATATTGAGGTTTGCAAAAAAGTTTTTCTGTAAAAATATTCGTCTCTCTATCTTAATGTCTTTGTATAAATTTGTCTTTGTCTCCGTTTCTTGGTGTCTCTATAATGTTGTGTCCCTGTATCTCTGTTTCTTTGTGTCACTTGTTGCGGTGCAGCGCCTGGTGTCGGATGAGGTTGCTGAGGAAGGAGAAGTTCTTGCCACACTTGGAGCAGTGAAAGCGTCTCTCTCCAGTGTGGACGCTCTGGTGGACCCTTAGGCTGGTGGAGTTGGAGAACGTCTTCTCGCAGTGGGGGCAGGGGAACGGTCTTTCCTTGATGTGGACCATCCGGTGGTTCTTCAGGTTGGTGGGGTTGGAGAACACCTTCTCACAGTGGGGGCAGGGGAACGGTCTCTCCCCAGTGTGGAACATCATGTGATTCTTCAGGTTGGCAGAAGTGAGGAAAGCCTTTTCGCAGTGGGGGCAGTGGAACGGTCTCTCCCCCGTATGAAGCATCTGGTGCCGCTTCAGGCTGCAAACCCTGCCAAACCTCTTGTCGCACTGAGAGCACTGGTATGGCTTCTCTCCAGTGTGGGTGCGCTCGTGGATGAGGAGCTTACAGTGGTGTGAGAATTTGCGGGAGCAGAAGGAGCAGGCAAAGGGTAGGCTAGGCTCCTGGGACCCAGACTCCTGCTTCTGTGTGCTAGGTGTCTGGGAGACCATGTTCTGATCAGGGAAGTGATCCATTCGCTGGACTCCTGACAAAGAATACCGCTGCTGTAGGTCAGCTGTCTCCATCATAACAAGGGGGTTGTTGTCAGTAGAGATGTCCCATGTTGATTTTCCTGGAGGTAGACACAGCAGGGGAGGGAACTGAGACCTGTTCAGACCATCAGCTCCAACACCTCCATCTGCTCCAGGTCCGCCACAGCTGTCCTGTCCGAAGTCGATCACTCTGACGTCAGAACCTGCATGGACAGGAAGTGCCCTCACAGTACCTGAGAGGCTGATTGATGAACTTTCTGCTGCAGAGTTTACTGTGTACGAGGAACAAGATGGCCACTCCGTGTCTCCAATCTGTCTGCTCTCCTGCCAGTCAAGCAGCAAGTGGGCAGTCCTTTGTTGGTCACCTGATGAGAGCAGAGGTATGAAAAGAAAACCAGGACATAAAAGGTCTTAGTATTTTTCACTTATAAGGTTTCACTTCAGAGCTGTGTGTTTCTCTCACACCTGACACACTGATACACATCATCAGCTGTTTCTGCACTCAGGGGTCTCAAGCATTAATGCCCCCCACCCCCTTCCACCTCAGTCTCTTCAGACTACTGACTGCTGTCAATGCTTACATTTTTGTACCCCAACTATAAATCTTACATGGCACATTTATTGGTTGTAGCTGTGTTGCTTGCCAGTATTTTGTATAAGAACTACAACCCCCAATAAACACCATAATTTATCAAAGACACAAAAAGCACAAGATGAGCATGGAAACAGGCGCCTCTTCACATCAGCTGCACCACAAAAACACATCATGAGAACCTTCATTTGTATCCATCATATTTTTAGACAACGTGATGTGGAGTGGAGTGGAGTTATGCTGACCCCCGTACTGGGTTTACATACGATGTATCCCTGAGCTGAACGAAAACTGACAGATTTTATACAATCAAAAGAACAAACACTGTTTTTTTTAATTCATGGCGCCTCAGCGGCTAGGGTTTTTTTTCAAAAGATTTTTGGGGACATTTTGAGACAAGAGGGCTTAAAGAACAGTGGCTGCAGTAGCTCATTCTAAAAGAGACTTGGGTTAGGAACCAGAAGGTTGCAAGTTCAAGTCCCAGTATGGACCAAAGAATGGAAGTTGGGTCTGATTGCTGGAGAGGTGACTGTTCACATCCAGAGTACTGCCAATGAGCAGAGAACCAAACTCCCAACCCTCTGTGCAGGCTCCTCCCTCTGACATCTCTTCATTAATGCATGGTCACGGGTCTTGTTTTGAGTCTATGTATATGAGTAGCATGCCTTTCAATAACAGACTGTGGACCTGAATTCCCTCTCTGTGATTATTAAAGTATATAAAATGATACAGCATATACCTGTATACCTATTGACAGATGAGGTTGCAGATATAGAAAAGTTCTTGCTGTTAGTTTATGGATTTGTCTTTGTGTCTCTGAGCCTCTGGGTCATTGATGCTCTTTGTTTTGGGGTTTCTGTGTCCTTGGGTCTTTGTATCTATACATCACTATGGAAAAGACTCTCACCAGTATGGACACTCTGGTGGTTCCTTAGGTTGTGGGGAATGTCTTCCCGCAGTGGGGACAGGGAACGGTCCCTCATCAGTGTGGACCGGTGGGATGACCCTGTGTTTCCTTCTCTGGGTCTCTTTCTCTCTGTTTCCCTGTGTCTCTATGTATGTAACGTGCAGCGCTAGTTGACAGATGAGGTTACAAAAGAAGGAGGGTCTTGTTATTTATAGATATGTCTCTGTATCCATGTCTCTCTGTCTCTTTTCCTTTCTTTCTGTATCACTGTGTCTGTGTCTTTCTCTGGCCTTGTGTCATTTGTTTCTGTGCAGCACAAAGTTTCTGTTTTTGGACAATGTTGCAGAAAATAGAGGATTTCTTGCTGATTAGAGCTTTGTCTCACTATCTTAATGTCTGTCTCTCTGTTTCTTCATGTCCTTTTGTCTTTGTTACTTTGTTTCACTTGTTGCGATGCAACGCCTGGTGTCGGATAAGGTTACTGAGGAAGGAGAAGTTCTTGCCACACTTGGAGCAGTTGAAGCGTCTCTCTCCGGTGTGGACGCTCTGGTGGACCTTCAGGTTGGTTGAAGTGGCAAACGTCTTCCCGCAGTGGGGGCAGGGGAATGGTCTCTCCCCTGTGTGGACCATCTGGTGCCGCTTCAGGCTGCACATCTGTCCAAACCTCTTGTCGCACTGAGGGCACTTGTGTGGCTTCTCTCCGGTGTGGGCACGCTCGTGGATGCGGAGCTTACAGTGGTGGGAAAACCGGCGTGAGCAGATGGAGCAGGTGAAGTGGAGGCTGGGCTCCTGGGACAAGGAATTCTGGTTCTGAGTGTTGATTGACTGGTAGACCAAGTTCTGGTCAGAGAAGTGGTCCATTTGCTGGACTCCTGACCAAGAGTTCTGCTGCGAGAGGTTTACTTTATCCATGGTAACAGGGGAGGTGGTGTGGGCAGAGATGTCCCAAGTGGATTCCCCTGAAGACAGACACAGCAGGGAGGGGTTGTGAGACCTGGTTACACCCTCCACTCCATCCCTTCTACACGCTCCAGGTATCAGACCACCACAGCCATCCTGTCCTGAGTCAATCACAATGACGTCAGGCTCTGGGATTGACCTCACTTTGCCTGTGAGGCTGAATGAACTTCCTGCTGCAGAGACCACTGTGTATGAGGAACAAGAAGGCTGCTCTGATCCTCCAGACTGCTTGCTCTCCGGCCAGTAGAGCAGTGATCGGGTTGGGCTTTTTTTCTCTGGGGAGTCACCTGATGAGAGCACAGGTACGAAACAGGAATGTCAATCATTTGCTGGCTCCATCTTCTTAAGTGTGATGATTTTTTTTGGTATTTCAAAGACTTCCAACAAAATTCTGCTACTTAACTTAGTAAAGCAGACAAGTGAATTCATCAACCCCTGAAAATAGTCACTGTAACTTCTACTGCGGAGCCATGCTGTTGTAATACGTGCAGAATGTGGTTTGGCATTGTCTTGATGAAATGAACAAGGCCTATCCTGGAAAAGAAGTTGCCTATTTTGCAGCACAAGTTGCTCATAAACCTGTATTTATGGTTCGGCATTAATGTTTCCTTCACAAATGTGCAGGTTACCCATGCCACACAGTATGAGCATATGCACCTCCATACCATCACGGATGCTGGCTTTCAACTGAGCTCAGATAAGAATGCCTGATGATCCCTCTCCTCTTAAGCCCAGAAGACACGGCGTCCACTGTTTCCACACAGAAAGTCAAATTTGGACTTGTCAGACAGGACAGTTTTCCACTTCACCTCAGACCATCTTAAATGACCTCTGGCCAAGACAAGGGGACGGTGGTCTGGACCTGGTTTATATAGGTTTCTTCTTTGAAAGCTGAGTTTCAGCTTACATTAGTGAAAGCAGCAAAGGACTGTGCTCATAAACAATGGTTTTTGGAAGGGTTTCTGAGCCCATGCAGTGATGTCCACTACAGATTCACATCTGTTTTTAATACAGGGCTGACTGAGGACTTAAACATCTCAGTCACCCAGTGTTGGTTTTTACTTTAGATGTATCTTAAGAGGCCTTTTAAACACTGAGTCAGGGACTACTGTAACCGGTGGACTCCATAGGTCTGTGTGTGCAGCGTTCAGTCACCGCCTGTTTTGGCATAATGTTGATAAAGTGAAGGGATATCTGATAGGAAGTCTGTATATTGTTTTATTTTGAAAATTGACCAGATGCTCTGTGCATCCCTTGTCTGACTTGCTGTCCAGGTTGATCTGCTCTGTTCAGCTTGATCCATGCTTGCAGCAGGCTCATGTACAGTCTGCATGTGCTTGAGACAGACAGGCTGCATTGCCTGCAGTGGAAACAAGAGCATTGACTAGAGAGGGCGCTATAAGCTCCGGAGTGCCCATCTCAGATGGAAATTCAACCGATCCCGTGAAAGTTTAAAGTAAAATTGAAGTGTTTTTTCCAGTGTGTTACTTCACTAAGGTAGACTGATATTTTAAGCATTTTCATATTTTAATTTGAGGCATTTCAGAACATCTGAAGGAAAAGATTAAACTGATCTTGACACATGTTGATGTTAAAACTATAATTATAGAATAATGAACCATCACTGCTGCTGTATGAAGCTATCAGTGCAGGTTAAAATGTTTCAATGGTCCACTACAGGATATGATGTCACAGATAGACGGACAAATACCTGTCACCTCCTTCTTCTCTTCCCGCTCGCTCAGAGGGCTGCTCAGGTGTGTCGGACGTCTCTGGGCCTGAAAGAGAAGGGAGATGTTTAGAGGACACAAAGTTACCGTGTGCTCTCACATGATGGGTTAAATTATTGTTGCAGTCACTGGGGTTATGTTTCAGATGTATATGCTCAGTATGATCCCACATTTTCAAAACTGCTTTACAATGCAGCTTTGACAGTGACGATCACTTCAGCTTCACAATAAAATCAAACAGTTTGAAAACATGATTTATTGGCATATTAAAAAACACTGAGTATAGATATTTGTTTACATGTTAAACATCATAAAGAGGATGTTTAATAGAAGTTAATCAAGATTTCACATGGTCTCAGATGTTTCTTCTTCTATGAGAGAATATTTCATCCGGGAGTTTGAACTCCTACAGCTGCTCTTACACTGTATGTACATGCTGATTTTTACTTCTACAGACCATAAAGGGTTAATAGTGATGGTGATAACAATGACTCTATAATTTTAAGTGGGCGTGGTCACAGTGACTTCACCACTTGATGTGTGTCTACTGTTTTTCCTTCACAGACTGTATAAAAGAAGATGGCTGATCTCACAACTCCCAAAAAGTGAAGCCCAAACATTTGCCTTTTGAGCTCCGCTAACTGGCTGCAGCATAGGTCATAGGCTCCGCCTCCTCCATCTTAACAGATATGAGGGTCAAACTATAAAAGTTAAAAATAGATTTCAAACTAATTTTTTTCAAACATGGATTCTGTCTTTATAGTTAAACCCCGTTTCCACCAAGCAGTCGGGTTTGGTTCAGTACAGTTTGGAACAGTTCGGTACAGTAACTTCCTTGTGTTTCCACAGCCAAACGTACCCTTATTTGGTAAGTGGAGTGTAAGCCAGATGGATATAGCTGCGCCAGCTATGTAATAGTATGACATCATAGAAGCCCAACACAGTGTAGTCCGCTATTAATTAAGTTAAACATTCAAGAACGGGACACAGTAAACAAAGAACCCTTTAGGGTCGGATCCGTACTCTTGGCACCCCAACAGATGGGTACCAAAAAAGTAGGATGGTAGGGATTCCTTTCCTCATTAGGAAAATGTTTACTGAGGGAATAAATCAACTGACAAGTAGGAACATCTGATCATAGACTTCTATATAATCAGACTGCTTTGTACAACGGGTGGTGTCTCCCTCTGCTGGACTGTAAAAATACTGCAGGTTTAAGACACTTAAGCAGCTCAGAAACCCTGCTTGTTAAAAAAAATCTGTGGTGTATTCTAATGTTGTTTTGTACATATACAAATACATTGACAAAAACATTAACAAGCTGATGGAAATTTTCAAAAATATTTCATAATTTAAATGATACAAAAGATCCTCAGCAGGAGTCTGTTACACAAACGATGCACTTTGGTTCATTCAGAGAGTCACTGCAGGTTGTGCAGAGATGGAGCATCCTCTCAAACTTGTTCTCTTCAGTTCAATGATTCATGTGAATAAAGACTAGAATATAAAGTTGTAAAGAATGAAGTGAAAAAGTTGACATGTTTGTGAGTTCAGTTTCTATGAATACAAAGTAGACCTTCTGCAGGTCCGACTCCAGGAAGAAGCGCTTTGTGCAGCGGGTGCAGCCGTACGGACGCTCCATTGTGGCTGCGTGGTAGAAGGCCAGGTGGAGGCCTCTGGGGGCAGGTCTGTGGAGGCTCGCTGGGCGGGGCAGAGAAACACCTGGGGGGTTACTGGAGAGGCTAATGCTGGAGGCAGAGCCTCCTCTGGACGGTCCAATGGGGTCACTGGGAGGAAGGACTGACCTTTTGACCTGCCCAGCACGCTGCATCATGGCAGATTTTTGTTCATGTCTGTCACTCCCTCTCTGAGTCTCATCTGACCCCTCCCCCCCTCCATCAATCACTATCACCTCTAACAGAGACAACGCCTTCTCCCTCCTGCCGTCTCTTACACCATCACAGGAAGCTGTCACTTCAGTGCCCCCTGCTCTTACTTCACTTCCTGTGATCAGTGAGCAGTGGGCGGGGTCTCTGCGGTCAGTCTCAGGTGTCCTGCTGACAACAAAGGTGACGACGTCAGATCCACTGACCTCCATTTCACTGAGCTGTCTTCCGCCGTCCTCTGAGGTGGTGGGGAGCGATGTGGGGGGGTCGATGTCTCCTCTGTTGATGCAGGGGTTCGATGACGCCTCCTGGTGGGCGGTGGCGGTCTCAGTGGTTTCCTCCACCTTCACTATGAGCAGCTCCTCCTCCTCCTCAGGCTCTGCAGACTGAGACACAAACAGATCACGACCTCAATCAGAGCACAAATTCATCATGTCTGCTGTTTTCAAATTATAAATCTTTATTAAACCTGCAGCTTATTGTTTACATGGATAAATAAGAATTATTTCAATTTTCACTTTCAGACATTTGAAGGTTTTTTTAAACTCTGTTTTGTTTTTTATATAAAAAGCAAAGACAGTTTTTCCAACCTCACTTTGGACACTTATTCAACACATCATTGCCTTACTTTATGCTCAACAGGATTAAATCTTGAATTCAGGTTGTTTAAAATATTAAATTATGCAATCCAGTCATGGACTGAATTAGGAAAAAAATATTCAAATATCGCTTTAATTGCTTAAACAATTTGTTTTAGAGTAGATAAGGTTAGGCAGTCAATACATGACTTCCCTCTTGAAGTGTTTCACCAAAAAGCATCATTATCAAACATTTCATTTTTTATGCTCATATATATTTCAAGACATGAGTCTAGAGATCTGAAGGTTAAACACTGAACAAACCCTTTTCACACATACGGTCTTCTACGGTTTTCTCCTGAAAAACTCTGGAAATTAGGCTACCCGGAGGGACTTTAGGCTATATGTGAATGCAAACAGCCGCATTTTTTACCGGACTTTAGCCGGAGTTTCTCCGGCCAGACCCCTTGTATTTTTTCTGCAGAAAGTCAGAGTGAGCTGATGTCTGAACGCGGCCGCATATACAACGGAGATTTCAATTCGAGCCAATAGAAAGAGAATGACGTTTATATAGTGACGGCCTAAAGTGTCTGCACGCGATCACTACGATCTCCGTGCACGTAATTAGACGGCTGCATTATGTTTTCTGTTCATCAGTATGTTGTTCTCCGCTCTTTTGTGGATGTTGTCATTCCATTAGATTACACATAGCATTGATATAAAGGAAAATATTCTTATTATAACGTCGTGTAGCGGACTCTGTTGCTTCGGCCGCTACTTCCGCGTTGTTTATTTACTTCACGTCTTACCTCAGAAAATCCCCCGACCCCCCTCCCCTCTGACAGGGAAAGTCCCCCGCTGTGAGGAGCATATGTGAACGGCTAGGTCGGGACAATCTCCGGAGAAGTCCTCCTGTAATTATCTAGATATTATCCGGAGTGCGTATGTGAAAACGGCTTAAACAGATGTTGTTTTGGTGAAATATTAATACAGTGGCTGGGAGACGTCATGCGAATGCAAAACAATTTGAAAAAACCACAACACAAACGCAAAACACAGATTCAAAAAGCCACAACCAAAGTCGAAGCCTGAAGGATCAGGTCCGTGTTTCTGATGGACTGTTACTGTGACCTTTAGTTGAGTTTGTTGCTAACGCCATACTTACCGTCAGGCTAGTATGCAGTATGCACTGTTTGAGTATGTAGTAGGCAGCACTTCAGTATGTGTTATTGGAGCCATAGACCTTTGTTTTCTGTCTGTGCGCTCTGCTATAATCACCTCAGTTTTAGTGGTGGTGACGACCTCCTGATCAGGGTCCTGGTCCAGGATTATAGGGGGGGTCTTCTGCAGAGACTGCTGGGCTGCTGGACCCCGATTCAAAAACCTAGTCCTGCCCTGCAGAGAGGGGCCTGATGGGTAACCAGAGGAGGAGAAACACATTAACAACACTTACATGAACCACCTGTGAGTGTCTGATCATGGCTGATGAACGTCTGTGCTGTGATGTTATTAAACAATATTAGTATTTTAAATTACATATTTTATCTACTAATATTGAATATATATTATTCAGAAAGTACAACTTTTTCCTCTTGTACACTAATTCTTGTAGTATAACCTCTTTATTATCTGATTTGTTGTCCTTTAATGTAGCTCTTACACTCCGTCATAGATTATTAATAAGACAGAGTTTAGCACATGTTGTGGCACTATGTTCTGGTGAAAGCCCTCTTGGATTATGTTGAACTTGTACATTGTTAGCTATATTAAACTGTTATATTAGAAGCTTTCTGAACAGTCTTCTGACCGGTGTTTAACTGTGAGTAACAGCCGGGTGTCGGGGCTTCTTACCGGCCGCTGAGTCTCTGCTCTGCCGGCTGAAGAGGCGGACCCCATGGAAGCGGCTGTTCACAGATCCCTCCGCCGCCTTCACCCTCTCGGCTCGGTACCGGGCGACCTGCAGCTCCAGCAGTTTGATCTTCCTCCGCAGGAACTCGCTCTCCTTCTGGCTGCGGGTCATCTCCAGGTGAACCACCGCGTAGCCGTCGTCTACCACCTTACAGATCTCCGCCACGGCCGCGTTAGCCAGCACCTCCATGATGGAGGCGATCTGAGAGTGGAAGTCCACGGCGGCCGACATCTTTAAACTTCCGCTCTGTGCTTCGTCTCTGTCCTAAAACAACAAGGAGCGATGTTAACGCACAGCGGTGTTATCTGAGACACATCCCGACCTGTTTACACCGCACAGGAACAACGGAGAAAAGTTATCCTGAAGGCGAGGAGTCTTTGTTGATAAGGCTACAGGAAGCTGTCATGTGACTGTATTTGACAAGCACAAAATATGAATACAGAAGCACAGCGCCCCCTGTGGCCAGGAGCGGACCTGCCACACAACCGTGTAGAAATAGTAAGAAGTGCTTCAAGGCAAACTGATGTAGCGTATTTAATTTCGTCAAGATATTATATCTTTATTAAACCTCGGATTCAAAAAGGGGCACCTGTGATGGTCACTGCCTTAGTCAGGCTATTACTAGTTGATTCTGTCCCCCTAGGTCTTGAGGAGTTGGATGCACATGGGCCTTTTGCTTGCACACGACTCTAAAGCGCTAACATGTTCGAACCATAGACTGTACTTACACATTTCTTCATAATAAGACTCGTAGACCGGCAGAGCGCTTTCGGCGTAGCTGGGCTGCGTAAGTCATCAGGGCAGTACGCTAAGTGGGCGGGGCGTGTTACCAGGGCTCCTGGCCCGGGACCCTACAGCGCTGGCTCTGGCTCCAAATGACGTCAAAATCACAAGATGGAAGATTAATGGCTTCATATGGGATTTTTTGATCCAGCAGATGTCGCCCTTGAGCACCAGCATGAGACCAAAACAATTTGCGGTGCATTGTTGTGTTAGCATGCTAATGCTAGCGATCTTTATTATGCTCGTATCTTCACACTGCATGTAAATTTACACAAAATGAGCGTAATCTAGAAACGCAGTTAAGCAGTGAGTACAGTATGTTATTCTTCTTTTCTCTAGTCCCTCAATTAAACAACTTTTATACGCGAGGGGAGGAGTCAGCTGCTGTCCCGGCGATGTAAACAAACTGAAAATATGACTCGGGAAAACTCTGAAAACATCACAGACAGTGGGACTCGGGTGTTACACCCATTGTACACAGTCATTACTCACAGAGTTATTTTCAGAGGATATACTTGATTTCTATTATATTTAAGTGTGAAATCGCAAATAAAGCCTTTAAGGATTTTGATGTGTCATTATCAAACTTAATAAACTGAATATGCGTTCTTGTCTGTGTTTGTGTTCTTGCATCCATGTGAAACTTCATCTTCAGCGGTCAAAGTACTGTCCCAATACACAAGTTTGCATTTTGCCAAGAACGGTTAAAATAGAAAACTGTGATAGAATATTTAAAAGGTATAGGGCATAGAATTTAGTATAATATATATATATATATATATATATTATTCATTGTATTATTATTTTGTTTTCATTAATTTACATTTAATGTAAAGTATTAAATGTATTAAAGTATCATATAGCTGAAGCTACATCCTCCGGTACATTTAGTGGCAGTTTGAATTAAATTAAAAGAAGAGCTGATATCCCAGCATTCATTGCGGCATCCAAGCCGAGCAGCAGACAATGAACGGTCGGAGATTTACGATTTTCGTCTATTATTTCAGCACTAAATTCACTTCTGAGAATATTTGAGGCGGGAAGTCAATGCTGAGGAATCTGAAAATTAACATTTTTACGAAAGTAAACGTCGAATCGGAAATTTGCTCTGATGTTTTCAGAGTTCCGTAAGATACAGCGGGGACAGGTAGCAAGCAAGGCCGTCATTCAGGTCTCCTGTGGCCGCACAGTCACACAGACAACTGCAGTCGCCTCAAATATTCTCAGAAGTGAATTTAATGTTGAAATAATAGACAAAAAACGTAAATCCCTTACCGTTCATTACCTTGTGCTCGGTTTCTTCCCGGGTCTCAGTTTGGATGCCGAAGTGAATGCTTTTGCCTAACAAAATCTGTGTTTTGTTTAACCTTGAATGGTCAAATCTCAGTCTAGTTAAAAGTTTTCTCCCTTCTATTTTTCCTATTAACACTGTGTGCGTTTATAGATTTCTGTATACTGTAGTATTTCCTTCCACAACTATCCCTGTCCCATCTGTATTTCTTTATCCTTTCTTTTTTGATCAATGCCTTATTTTCTCTTTTACCCAAAAGGTATATTTATAAAATCCCTGCTCTTGGTTGAATTTTTAGCTATTTTGTCTGCTCTCTCGTCTCCTTTGCACCTACATGAGCAGGTACCCAAAAAAATCTCAGATCTAGAAGAAGTTTACGCAATCTAAATAAACTTTGATGGATTTCTAACATTAAATCTTCTCTTTTAGTTTTCATATTTTGAATACTATATAGGGCTGCTAAGGAATCAACACAACATACCACTCTATCTGGTTTTACTTCCTCCACCCATTAGCCCTCATTTCCGTGTAGACTGACAGCTGACCGGGTAACCTTGTCCAAATACTTACATTCACTGTTGGTATACATATTACTATACCTATCCTACTCTTTGGATCCGTCTGTATAAACATCTACATAACTGTAAAATGTACTTCTTATGTACTGACTTATCACTCTCTTCCCATTCTCTCTTTAGTTCCATTATTATTATTACTGATAGAAAAAGAAGAGTAGGTTTTATTACCCAACCAAAGCCATAGCCTTGAAACCTGCAGTTCATAGAATGTCCACTAGAGGCAGACTGCAGAGTAAATACCTGCAATTCATTGAGTGGGTTTTATAGGCTA